GCGAACACCGTTTGTGCTTAAATTATTATTGCGCCGCGTAATATCAAATATTGAGCATGTGTTATTGCGCATGGCTTAGGTTTAATGAGCATATGATTGCGCCGGATCGAGGAGGAATCAGGCGCGGAGCGTTTACTTGAACAGGTATATTAGTACAATTACAATCTCGTATGGGAAATCGATACTTACATTAAATTTAATGCACACTATAAACACACACCATTTTATTTATATCCGTATATGTCTTGGTAAATAAGACAGAAAAACGGTATTGAAAATTGGATTTTCGAAACAAGTCGCTTGTAATAGGCCGTAAAAATGCATATGTAATAGTGAATTTTATCCACTGACGAAGGGTCGAAATAGAAATGAAAACATATGAAAGTCTATTAATTTTATTTTAGAACTAGTGGGGTGGGTGGCAAGGTGCCTTAAGGCAAATTGCTGGAACTTCCCGTACCGTAACGAAATGTTTGAGGAATACTGAATGTTTTCAAATAGATTATTATAAATATTGTAACATTGTCTAATATTTATAAGAATTATATAAACTGAATTGCAAAGTTGAAATTATTTGTTTCAACAAAAAACTAAAAAAAAAAAAAAAATGGAACAAAAATTTTTTTTTCCAAAATCAATTATTTTGTTAAGACAAGCAGAAAGTTTTTTGAATTATTCAAATCGGACGCTTAGTTCTCTCAAAATCTGCCATTTTTTACATATTTAGCTCCGTATCTTCGAAATGGCTGGGCCTGCCTTTGCCAAAAACTAATAAACACTTCTCCCAATCATTACTAATTGAATGTTTTTTAGATCATTCAAATCGGATACTCCGTTCTCTCAAAAATTTGATTTCTATTTTCCGCACTCTTTGCTCCGTATCTCCGAAACGGCTGGATCTGCCTTTGCCAAAAACTAATCAGCTCTTTTCCCTATCAATAGGAATCGAATGTTTTTTGAACCATTCAAATCGGTTGATCCGTGCGCCCTAAAACGTGACTGGAAATTTGTATCCACACATACATACACACACACACACACATACACACACACACACACACACACACACACACATCCATTTTTTCTGAGGTATGCCAAAATGTTCAGAAACCTTCAAAACGTCGAGAAATGTAAAAATTTTCAATTCCGATTTTCGGCCCATTACAATAACTTACCCTACGGGAAGTTAAAAATAATATTAACTTCAATATAGTTTTGTCTCCAATATCTAACCTGTTAAAAAGGTTTTCAGTTTTTATATGTGTATCAACCTTTAAAGGTGTATAAAGGTCCGCGGGTAAAGGTCCAACTTTACTAAAACAAGTAAAGTTGAGATTTTTGTAACAACAATATTTGAAAGTAGAGGGGAAAAGATGTATAACCAGCCATCACATGGATTCTTACGACGTTGACCTCGGGAGATAAACGATATCGTTTGAAAATCCATAACAAAAGATTTTTTTTTCGTTGATAGTTTTTTTGGTTGCGAGGGCTGTTGTTTAGTTTATGAAACCTTAATATAATTTTTTATAAGTACTACACGTTATATAATATTTTTATAAGATACTAGCAAACCCGACGAACTCCGTTTCGCCACCAGATAATTTCGTGAGAAAGATGAAGAAATTTTTTGTTTGTCTTATATTGAAAAGGAAAAAATTGATTTTATTGCACAACAGTAATGTATTTATTTCGATTACAAAAATGAAGTATTTTTTAGTTGAACTTCTCTAAGTAAATGAAAGTGAATCCGCCAATTATCCTTTTCATTGAAGTACTCTTTGGTAAATCACATTTTTTGTTTTTTGGTCTGACGTTAACACAAACAAAGCGGATGGTTTTCCAACTCGTGAACAGGCAACGTATACCTGCCCATGTGAAAAACAATGACTTTCTAAATAATATATTTGAAATTTATCCCGCAAACACTAAGCGATTGGCCTTGCGACTTGTTAATTGTCATCGCGAACGCAAGGCGAACTGGAAATTGCAATTGTTTGAAGTCAAACGGAAGACCAGTCGGAATCATTGGTATCGCCAATGCTTTTTTCGATTGAATGGTGAAATTCAGTGCGTGTACATCATTATTCTATAAAGCTATAAACCTTGCGGAGCCCTAGACCTTTCCAACGAATGCAAAATTGTCGAAATCATGCGTTCTGGAGTTATTTCATCAGGAAGGAAGAACCGACTTATTTTTATATATATGTAGATTATTGTTGATTTTAAGTTATGTTCAATAGTTTCTTTTTCTATAAAAGCTTACATGTGAGTGAGGTAAAAAAGATCAACTGAATCTTTACCCTGGCAAAGATGTAAATATTAAAAAATAGTAAATAAAAAATAGCTAAGTCGAAAAGAGCAATTTTCTATGAAAGCTTACATGTGGGTGGGGTAAAGAGAACCTACTGAATTTTTACCCTGGTAAAGGCGTAAACATTAAAAAATTGTAAATAAAAAATAATTAAGTTGAAAAAAGCAATTTCAGTCAAAGTATTTTTTTCGACTTCTATCAATTATTTTTCATATTAAACTAACACTTGATTGAATATGAGAACTAAATAATATATTGCACATTGTTATATAACGGCATGTAATAAAATATTAACGTAATGAACATATCAATTCCTTTCAATACTTCCACCAAGAACAATTTATGTTGTATCTAATCAGAACTTAATGCCCATTAAAATAAATTGAGGCACTTTGAAGCATGGATATTTATTTTATTATTATTATTATTATTATTATTGTTGTTGTTGTTATATATAGTTCAATATACAAAGAATTGTCTACAACAATAAACTAATGAACAAAGCCGCTATATCATATAATAACACGAAATTCTCATTGTAAACGCGTTCATTAAAGAATAATGATATCGGTTGTGGCGACACTTGATTTATACACAACGAGTATTGACCACGTCAAGGTAATATATTAAAAACATTAATTAACCAGATTTTTCTAGTCTGGAAATGTCGTTGTACTAATTGGTGTTTCATAATATTATCGTATACCGGTCGTAATTAGTGCTTTGTATCACTATAAATTACATGCACATTGTAATATATTTACATTTTGTTAACGAACCGCAATTAAGTATCTGGACGCCGTTGCTCTTTATAAATGAAAACAATAAAAATACTGTAATTACTGTAGCAAGTGCCTTTATTCATGGGAACGTTACAGCACAAATTAATAACGTTATGGCAAAATATAACTTGACTAATAATGTGGTGTTTTATAGGAATTTTAATTGCATCGGAACGAAACTAGCGCAGATAATCTGATAGTTAACTCGTTTGATTCGAATACAATTTGCTACATTTTGAACAGCAAATTGAATTACAACGCAAAATACTATTATTTTATTACTTAATTAATAAATTTTCAGTATTGAAATAGACACAAAGCAAATTGATGATAAAAGAATAAATTCAAGTGCTCATATACAAAGAATTTTTTTTTAAATTTTGTAACCAGATGTAATTTTGGGCATTTTGTCTTAAGGTAATTGTATGAGCTTCCCTACAAGAATAAAATGACTTAATAAATAACAAATCAACATATTAATATATAAATGATTCATTTAAAATGTTTAATGCCATATTTTTAATTTTAAAGAAAGTTTACGAGATAGAGCTATGTTATTCAACCAATGCAAAATATAAATACCCTTGATCTAGTATTTCGTCAAAAATATTCATCAGCAGAGTTGGAATAACTATTCATTTAATTCATTTCATAGACAACAAACATACTTTTGTTATGTACTTTCAAACATTGCAGTTTCTCCCGCGATGGCCACATCGTAAATAAAGATGATGGCTGTTTATACATCTTTCTTCCTCTACTTTCAAATATTTGTTAAAAAATTCATAACTTTACTTGTTTTTTAGATATTAGTGGCGGACCTTTTTACCTGCGGACCTTCAAGTCCCACTCTACCTTATATATCATTATTAATTTTCAGTATGTTTATCACCCAGAAACTTTATCCCCATACAAATATTCATTAAAATCGCCTAAAACTTTTTTTTAACAATCAAACGCGAAAACCGCTCTTTGCCCAAAACTGATTAGAACTATTCAAAAAATGATATCTTCGAATAGTCTTTGAGTTTTCAAAATCGGTCTAAATTTTTCTACGTAAATGTGGACAAAATATTTTAGTTTCATTATCGAGTTTCATCGAATGGTCGAAGAAAGATCAAATTTTGACTAGCTTCGGAAAAGCGCTATTCATTTTTATAAAATTTGATTAATTATATAAAATCAAACAACTTTTCAACTTACCAAAGAAGAAATTTATATTTTATCAAAAAATCCGATTCGCTAAGTTTATGTTTTCTCGATGTTTCAAGCCATTCTGAATCGAACGAGACCAAATTTGGGAAAAGTATGTGTGTGTGTATGTGAGTCGATTTTTCTTGATTGTTTTAAATAAAAGTTAGTAAAGATGGAACAAAATGTACACTACAAATTTATGAATACTTTAAATAAGCATTTGAGAATAATGAAAGTAGCATTAATGATATCAATTAAAATGTTAGATGCAAACTATTAAATGAAAATGTGATAAAATATCAATAATAACGATATATAAAGCCAATATATAAATTATGTATCAAAATTTGGTTAATCTGGAGAATCTTTGTCATTATATTTGAAATACATGAGACTATAATGATATGCAATAAGCTTGGATGAACATACTCTTGCAATACCTCCAAAAACTCCCAAGTACCACTAAATCAAGCAAACACAGAGAAAATTGTACGGAGTCGATACATTTGAATTGGTACTCAAATATAATTAGATACTTCCAAAAACTCTCACAAAATATTGTGTATTCGCCCTAACGACGAACGTCATGTTTATTTTGTAGAGACATTGTTAAGATATTTACTTTCTAGAATATTTACCGAAGCATTCGTAGACATAGGTCGGCTATGTATGTATTATTATTATAAGGATAAAGACTTATGTGTACTCACCGAATTCAGGAGCTGCTGGAGCGCCCTCAGGGATTCCTCCAGTTCCCTGATGCGAGCCTCCATCGCGGCCTGGAAAAAAGGAAACAGAACATTTATCTTCGTTATACGCAAACTAATTTAGCCATTGCATTTTCTGGAAGGTTATGGTGAACCGAAAACAAAGCTACTTTATTGGCTCTACTTAAAAAATAAATGAACATTAAAACAAAACATTATTTTAAATATAAAAACGTTTCAAACCATACCACAGTTAACCCTTTCGACTTGGATGCCGCCGCTCCAGCGACAAATTTCATATAAATCTCGCAATTCGCGAGTGGAAAGGGTTAATTTTAATTTACGAGAATATTCATTATTTTTCAGTTACTATAACTCAAAATGTGTAATACAAATGTAAACATTATCATTTTCATTAACTTTTTGTTTTAGATTGGATTTAAATAATAATACACTGAAAGTATTTTGTTGAAGAAAAACAATCAATAAGTATCATTGTCATAAGTCGTCAATTTTCCTGATAAAGATTGAAATAACTTAGTTATTATTTATAAGAAATTATTTATATGTAAATAGTTAAGATTATATCATTATCAATAAAATATTGTTAATATTATAAAGAATGGAAAAACAACTATTGAGTTGCTTTTCCAACATGTCCATATAGTATACAAAGTCCCTTTACGGCTGACAATTGCAAATTCACTAAATTTACTAAATGTCCTTGACTGGACAGTTGTGAATAAAATAGAGAATAAAAATAACAATCAATCACAATTTACTAATTCATTTAAGTGCACTTGAAAATATAAAAATATATATTAGCATATTATTTAATAATATCTAACTCGATGAAGTGGAATATAAAAAACTCAAAAATATACAATAATAGGCCACTATGATTCATTTAATTTATAGTATACTTGAAAACAATAGTATTTCAAGATAGGATCGTATGTAAAAAGTATGTTTTTTCAGTTAATCTTAAAATCCAATCGTTTTGGATATTGCCAGTATCAACTTCAGTCAATGACATATGCACATATTCTCTAATAAAAAGACTTAAATTACAATTTTAAATTGTGATATATATTTATGTAAATATTTACTTTTGCATTAAATGTTGCATCACATTCTATATTTTTATACTATATGCTCATGCTATGCATTAGTGAAATTTCTATTTTTAAGATTAAGGTAAGACATTTCCTTTTTAATAAATTGCAGACTGGGTCTAAGGCTGAAATGCATGTTCAAAACAATCTTTTCTTAAAAAAAGTTATTTTTATGCATAAATAAATACATTGGCCATCATCAAGTTCAAGATTATTTATATACAATTGGTGAAATAGTGACCATTTTTCGGTTATTGTAGTTAATTGTAATAATTTATGTTCATTTTAAAAACATCAGAACCGTAACTCCGTAAAACATTTCTAGGGCCACAGTCAGAAATAATTGCACAATTACAAAAATTAAGACTTTTTGTTGAATGAAATTATTTTTTTCTAAATCAGTATACTTTAATAGGTCCTCCTTTAAAAATAATGTACTAAAATGTGTTGGCAAATATCTTCAAACATTGGCGCATTTAATCAGGATTGTAAAATAATAAAATACTTGATAGTTTCATAATAAAAAAATTCGTGTAAAAAATAAAAACCTAAAAATGACGTGGAGAGACGTTGAGTTCTGGGACACTATATATATCAATGCAAGATCTTCAATTTGGTGTTGATGTATATTATTTTTAAATTAATCTTACTGATTTAACAACTGCAAATCAAGTCTTCTGTTCATTGTGTGTGATTGCTGTGTTTCTTTTTTAATTATGCACTGATGAGTATCACACCGGGACTCGAAACGTATAAAAGTTCTTATAATTATTTTAAATATTATTAAATATATATATATATATATATATATATATATATATATATAGATATATATAAACGTGTATGTATGTGTATGTGTGTGTGGGTGGGTGTTTGTGTATACATATATCACAAGTTACTAATGTAACCACTTACTGAAGGGTGGTCCATATGCAATAAATTGAAGTAGATTCTAACCATAAAAAGACTAATAAAACTCCCTCACATGTGTAATATTGTCTTATACACTGTTTCGTTCAACTAGAACGATCTACAGCTGCAACAGAGAGAAATACAGAGAGAAACGGGCAAGATCATTGCCAGCAGTTCATGTGTCAAGAGAAGAAATGACTAATACTAGTTTTTCTTGCAGAGCAGATTCGCTTTATCTTCGAATTCAAGGAACAGAGAAAAAAAAAGTTTGGGTATCACAATATTGTTTACAAAATAAGTAATATAATAGTAATATGTACTAGTAGTGCATGGCATCGTGCCTTAAGGCCAATTGTTGAAACTACCCGTACCGTCATTCAAAATTTTTAAAAGCAATTTTTTTGAAAATTTTGAAAAAAAAGTTTATTTGTAAATTCTTAATTTTGAAAATTTTGAATTTTTTTTAGATTCGACGAATTGTCGGTTAATTATAAATCTTGGAACGAAACCCATGAAAAATGAGCAAAATTTGTACTTCTCTATAAAATCTCAAATAATTTGATATGCATATGTCCAATGATAATTTTTGAATATTATATAGAATTTTTTCTCTAATTCTTCGTAATTGTATTTCCGTAATTCTCTGTATCTCCGAAACCACTGAATCTGTTTCCCCAAAAATTTTCCGAATCTGTTTCCCCAATTTTTCATTTTGGCAATGCAAGTGATATTATTCTCAAATCATTCACATCGCTACATTCTTTCAAAATTGCCATTTCTTGCTACTTCTTGCCTCGTATCTTAGACATGGCTGGACCTGCCTTTGCCAAAAACTATTAAGCACATCTCTCCATCAATAGCAATCGAATATTTTTTGAATCATTCAAATCACTCAATTGATTCTATCGAAATCGTGGACATGCATACTACAAACACACACACATACGCATATGTCTCTATTTTTTCTAAGGTTTGCTAAGATATTCTGATTTTTTGCGATTACTACCTACCCTACGGCAACTTAATAAATATTTATATAAATGACCACACAAAATCGTTATACAACTACTCAAAATTCCATTTTACAAAATTACGACCTAATACGTTTAAAGTTAGTTGATTTCTCATAGAGTTAATTTCTATTTAAATTTTGGTCCCAAAAAACAAAAATATTTATTATCACACAATCACAATTTTATTTACATTCTGTATATAAATTATTATATTTCATTATCACACAAATCGTTATAAAACTACTTCATTTTTTTACAAAATGAAGTAGTTACAAACACGATCTAATAATATCTATCTAATCTAATAAATTCATTATAAATTAGTTGACTGTATATTAAGTTGACAAAACTTATATATTAAATGATTTTTTACTGTTTATTTAAAACTAAAAAAATAATATAAGATGAATCATATATCGATATTTAAAAAAAAATTTTAATATTAATACATATTATTTAATTCAATTCCTAATAGCACAGATCAGTGTTAAAATTTAGCAACTTGTCATGCAAGACACTAACTGTAAGTACAAGTACAACAAAATTCTAGAGTATTTTTCTCAAATTTTAATTTAATTATTTTAAAAAATGCGCTGCTTTGTATTTTTCTTGTGCATAAAAAATATGTAAAAGTGCATTTTCTATTCATAATTGTATGCATTTCACTTTATGTTAATTACTTGTTTTTGTTTATCTTTATAATTTCTACTAATATTCAAATACTTTGCACAAATAAATGCAAATGCAAATAATGAAAAATATCTTTATTATTAATTTCTTTTTAATTTATTCTGTTTACTTCACATCAGATTGACCCAATAAAAAGTATGTATTCATTTGCATAATCCAATAAAAACGTGCATGCCATTTTTTCATCTAAGTATCGAGAAAACGATGTTTTTTGCTACTGTTTTGACTTCCATTAACGACTGCAACATTTAATAATAAATACATTAGCATAAATTGATAAAGAGGTGATTGATCATGAGATTTTGATGATATTGTAATTTAATATAGACTGACATTCGAAAGTGATTCTGAATTATGAAAATAAAGACTTCACTGAGCGCTGACATCCCGCACTCTGAAATGGGTCGAATTTGATGTCAAAATTATGAGAAACCAAAAATTTTAATGGAAATATAGTTCTGGGCGTCACATTTTATAAAAAAATTCCTAATTCGATTAAATTTGTAAGAATAAAAATATTTGAGATTATCGAATTACCCTCAAAATCCTCATATATTTTTGAATAAAATTTTTATTTTTTACTTATTAGTCAAGTTTTTGATAAATTTTAAGATAATCATATAGTAGAAAGTAAGTAAGAGAGACTGGGTACGGATGTGCCAGGGTACGGTAGTGACAATCGACATAACATCTAAACTATACTGATTTTGTGATAGGGTCCAAAGGTAAAGAGGTGAAGTATGTCTGTTCGAACAAGTTCCCATTATTGCATTGAGTCAGCGCCCTAAATTGATATGTTCTGTATCTGTCAAAAAAAGTGTTTTTGTTGGATTTTTTTTATTAAAACTTTTATTTGAATACAGATAGATCACTCTGTTTGTTATTTTGCTCTAAGTTGAATATTAGTAGTTATTTACCAGCAATAAGTTAGAGCTTAGGTAACTTAGCTCAGTCTTAATGATGATTTGTTTTCAAAAGTGTGTTCACGTACAAATATATAATGCGCTAATAAGAAATGCTAGGTACTATTAGATAGATTATACTTTAGAATATTTTATAAAAATATAAATAATTATAAAAAAATTCTTAAATCTGTACAATTATAAAACATTAATTGCACTATCTTTGTATTTTTATACTTTTATTATTTATATACTTTTTTACATTTCTCGCCTCAATATTTATTTAAATCTCATAGAGTTTCCATTATTTATTTATTTCTATGGAAAATTTCCATGTACTTTAAAAAAAGCTGAATACGCTTCTTGAGTAAAGAAATGCAATAATAGAAAATTCTGATAAATATGTATTTATGAAAAGGTGGTATATAGTTTTGGTAGTA